AGGAAGTATATTCTGGATCTCTTGAAAGAAACCGGTATGATAGGTTGCATACCCACATAATCGTCCATTGAAAACAATCACGAGTTACAAAACAGAGTTGGAAAATCAATTGATAAGGAGATATATTTGAGGCCGGTTGGAAGACTCATTTATCTCTCCCACATTAGACCAGGCATAGCTTATTTTGTTATCCTGGTGAGTCAGTTCATGCATGATACTCGAGATCCTCATATGGAAGTTGTCTTTAATATTTTGCGGTATCTGAAGTCTGCTTTAGGGAAAGGTCTACTTTTCTCCAAACATGGTGACCTCCAAATAGAAGCCTTTATAGACGCGGGTTAGGCTGGATCTCTAGATGACAGAAGATCAACATCCGGTTATTGTACACTAGTAAGAGGAAACTTGGTTACTTGAAGAAGCAAGAAGCAAAGTGTAGTTGCTAAATAAGTACGGAGGTAGAATATAGAGCTATGGCCCAGGGTGTTTGCGAACTGCTTTGGATACAAAAGCTACTACAAGAATTGAGGCTGTCTGAAAAAGAAAAACTTTCCTTGTACCATAACAATAAGGCTGCAACCAGTATAGCTCATAATCCAATCTAGCATGACCAAACAAAGCATGTGAAAATTGATCAACACTTCATTAAAGAAAAAGTTACAACTGGTGTCTTGAGGTTGATTCATGTGTGATCAGAAAAACAGTTAGGTGATGTGTTTATCAAAGGTCTCAACAAGCAAACTTCTCATACTTTGAGTTGCAAGTTGGGCATGTGCGACATCTTTCCACCAACTTGATGGGGAGTGTTGATTAGCATGATTCAAGAAGACTTGATTTAGGAGTGTTGATTAGTATGATTTTAGGATATTTGATTATATTTAAGAGATCTAATTTTATTCTAATTTGATTTGATAGTTGGATTGATTGTATAGATTTATTTTATTTTCTTAATTATTATTAGGATTGTTGTATAAATTCTCTTGCTCATGTTGTATAAATTCATTTTCTCATGGATATAAACGCACAAAAATACAAAAAGCCTTTTCTTCATCTCAAAATCTACAAGTTGTTTATCATTTTTTAGCATTTTAGGACCGTAAAACAGGAATTCAACATGATTTTTGATTTTTCAAGTGCTAATGTCCATGTCATCTTCATGATTTCGGAGGACCAGCTCCTAATTGCCTAAAATTTCTTGGGCCTTTCAGAAACGACCTAATGATCAATAGTCATTGCTTTTCCATAACTATTCCTCATTTTTGTGTGTTTAGGGCCATAAAATAGGAATTCAATACGATTTTTGATTTTAGTGTGCTAATATCCACGCCATCTTCATGAATTCGGGCGATCGACCCCGAATGGACTTGCTTTTCCATAGGTGTTCCTCGTTTTTTGGCATTTTAGGACTATAAAACAAGAATTCAACACGATTTTTTATTTTTTATGTGTGAATTCCCACGCCAACATTATGAATTCGGGCGGTTGGTCCCGAATTACCTAAAATTTTATGAGCCTATTAGAAATGAGCTAATAAATAATAGTTATTGCTTCTGTATAACCGTTGCTCATTTTTTGACGTTTAGGGCCATAAAATAGAGATTCGACCCGATTTTTGATTTTTGATTTTTCACGTGCTAATGTCCATGTCATCTTCACTATATAGGGCGACTAGCTCCGAATCCCTTAAAATTTTGTGGTCCCATCAGGAATGACCTAATGAACAATGATCATTGATTCGTCATAAATGTTCCTTGTTTGTTGGCTTTTTAGGACCATAACACAGGAATTCATAATGGTTTTTAATTTTTTGTGTGCTCATGTCCACGCCATCTTTATGAATTTGGGCAACTGGTTCTGAATCGCCTAAAATTTTGTGGGCGCATCAGAAATAACCTAATAAATAATAGTCATCGCTTTGCCATGAACGTTCCTCCTTTTTGGTATTTTAGGGCCATAAAAATAGGAATTCAGGATGATTTTTAATTTACATGTGCTAATGTCCATGCCATCTTTATGAATTCGTGCGACGGGCTTCGAATCGCCTAAAATTTTGTTGTCTCATCAGAAATGACCTAATGAATAATAGTCATAGCTTCGCTTTGACCGTTCCTCCTTTTTTGGCATTTTAAGGCTATAAAACAGAAATTCAAGATGATTTTCAAATTTTCGTGTGCTAGTGTCCTTCATGAATTTAGGCGACGGACTCTGAATCGCCTAAAATTTTATGGCCCATTAGATATGACCTAACTAATTATATCGCTTCACCATGATCATTCCTCATTTTTTGGCATTTTAGTACCATAAAATAGGGATTCGAGACAACTTCTAATTTTTCGTGTGCTAATGTCTACGCCATCTTTATGAACTCGGCGACGGGCTCCGATTTACCTAAAAATTTATGGCGCATCAAAAATGACCTAATGATCATTTTTTGGTGTCTTATGGCCACAACACAGGAATTCAGGATGATTTTAATTTTATTGTATGCTAATGTCCACGTAATCTTCATGAATTCGGGCGACGAGCTACGATTCGCTTAAAATTTTATGGGTCCATCAGAAATGACCTAATAAATAATAGATAGACAAAAAAATAGAAGAAATTATAAAAACTCCACCTCCAAATGTGAGTTCCCACTAAATTGTTCCTACCAATAAGAATTTATAAAATATTTGATGCAAACTAAACAATTCATATTTGGCAAACATAAAAGATTGTCAAAAGTTGTTGCACAAAAGAATGTCAAAAGTATATTTAGGTACTATTTTAAATACGGAAAAGGGCTTAAATACCCCTATGATTTGATAAATGGTTTACAAATACCCCCCCCGTCCACCTATTCGTACGAAAAAGCACACGCTGTTAATTCTATTAATAAAAATACCCTCGCATTTAACGGCAGAATTTATGGGTCTTTCATTTAATGACCTGACAATTTTTAACTGGGCCACATGACATTATTGACCAAAATCAAACATGGATCTTATTTTTACCCATTTACCTGGTCCGACCCTATGGTTTGTTACCCGGGTCAAAAAATGCCCCATTTTCCCTTTTCTTCTTCCAATCTTAAAATGATAATTAACAACAATGGTAGCTTCCTTAAATTCACTATCCTTCTTTATTATTTTCAGTTCACTTCTCTCATTTCTCACTTCACAAACCACCTTCCTACCAACACTGTCACCGTTGTGATCCCTCTTTTCTCTCTTCCCTTCAATCCCTCCCTTTCCTCCAAAATTCCTACTCTCCCCTTCCAGCTCCCTTTACATCAAAAGCTCAGCTACCGATTTCTAAATTTTTAATAAATAACATCAAAATTTTCGGGTCTTCTATTTATGATGACGAGTATGTCATCGTTTTTGCAATAAAAAAATTCTTCAACCAAAATTTCACCCACCAGAATTCAAATTGAAACTTGAATTTCATATCGAGTCCTCAATGTATCACCAACAATTATTTTTGAGGCATTAAGTGTCGTGTGTGTTTTACTGAAGTGATTTGAATGAGTTGAATAAGAATCGGACCGAGTTTGGGAATTACGTAATGGGCTTAGTTTGAATATTATAAAGGTTAATGTTGTTGGGTTTGTTAATGGGATTGAAATTACTATCCAGATTTTTTGTCTTATAATGAATGGCTTGTGGTTCATAGGTTTCAGAGTGTGATTCTATTGTCCGATGAGATTGATGACGAAATGGGTGAGAATTTTAGGAAAGTTTGAGAGTAATAATGCAATGAAATTTGATGTTTCTATGGTTTGTTTTTCGGGTCATAAAGGTTACATTAGCCCAGCTAATTATTACTTTATGTCATAGGGTCGGATCAGGTAAATGTAGGGGTGTCAATGGTTCGGTTTAACCGATTATTTTATAAAATTTGTATCATACCAATTTTTCGGTTATTCTATTATATATAACCAAAATTAGACAACCGTCCCAATCATGTTGGTTTCTCTTCGGTATCGGTACGGTTCAGTTAATTTTCGGTATTTTTTTTATATCATGTAAAATTCACCAGTAGAAGTAGAATGCAATAACATACGTTCTTTTATAGGACTTAGCAAAACTCTCTAGACACTTTTACTGTTTAAAGGATGATGAATTAAAAAAAAGAGATGGCTAGAGAGTAGATCTATCAACTATTCTACAACAGCGTAAAAGAAATCAAACAAAGGCAAAGAAAATATAAATCAGACGAGTTGAAAGATATACCACGCTGGGACTCAAGAATAAAGTCTATAGAAGATTAAATATTCAAAAAGATAAATCCAAATTATATGAAAGGAGACATATTTAGTACATTGTAGTTTGCTACTCATAATCGCTAGAATACTTTGTGTCTTGCTAATAAAGATACTTAAAATAACTTAGTTTAAGTAGAAGTAGCAGGTTTTAGGAATTGGTATTTTGAGTTTAATTACTTGTTGCTTGTAGTAGTTTTCATAATTTCAAGGCCCAAAGAAAATTCAATACATTATTACTTTTAAACTTACTAAATAAATATATTTTTTACATGTAAAATTTATTCGTTATGGTTCGGTATTTTTTCGATTTATTTTTATAAAATAAAAAACCTACCCTAATTATCGGTGCAATTATAGATTTATATAAAAACCTACGGTTTCTTAAAAAGAAACCTAAAAATCGGTTCGGTACGGTACGGTTCGGTCGGTTTAGTCAGTTTCAAATATCCATTAACACCCCTAGGTAAATGGGTAAAAATAAGACCCATATTTGATTCTTGGTCAATAATGTCACGTGGCCCGATTAAAAATTGTCACGTCATTAAATGAAAGATCCACAAAATCTGCCGTTAGACCGGAGGTATTTTTATTAATAAAATTAACGTCGTGTGCTTTTTTGAACGGATAGGTGGACGGAGAATATTTGTAAACCATCTAGCAAACTAAAGGGGTAGTTTAGTCCCTTTTCCGTTTTAAATATATCCCAAAGATAAGTGACCTTTTTGTTAATTTCTCCACCATATATAAACACAGAGAAGTGTGGGACAGGTAAGGAGAGACTGTATTGTTGACTATCTAATGAAGTGAAAAAGGACTGAGGATATCGGATTAGTTTTACCGGCGGCTTCTGTGGGACGGGATGGAAGTCTTATTGGGCTTGAGACCAAGTATTCTTTGTTGCCCGTTATCGACATGCCAATCCAAGAGGAGATATTTTAACCTTAGACCTCGAGCTAGCCTCAATGAAGGAAATGACTCTTTTTACCAGGCCGCCATTGAACGAGCTTCCCTTCGTCTCCGGGAGTCTCACTCTCCAGGCAAATTCCCTCCATTTTACTCTATTCTTGTGCATACCGTACATGTATTCGTATATGCATTACCTTTACTTCTATTTCGCCTGCTATCCTTTGAGCTTCTTCAATGGCTGGGGTGATTTTTCCTTATTGTCGAATTGTTTCTATGAAGCCTAGTTATCATTTTATTTGCTAACTGATCACTCGCCTAAGTGATGCCAGTGTAGAAATAGTCACACTTTAATGAATGCTCTCAACATTCGTTGGGACAAGCTTACTTAGGCATGCGCTTTATTGAGTAAAGGTTTGTTGAAACTAGCTTGAATAAATAAAGAGGACTCGTATAACAGACTCCGCTAATTTGGGAGTGAAGTGTACTTGGTTGTTGATTGAATCACTTGTAGGAGTGCTTGTAAATCAGAAAATTCAAAAAACTTGTATCTCTCGCCAAATGCCAACTATGATGAAGCACGCTGAGCTGAAAGGTGCTATGTATTAAAATTTGATTGGAAAAGTACAGTCAGCTTCGAAACGTAACACCAGTCAGCTTTCTTTCTTGTCATATTGTGAGGCTTCTACTTCCCGTTCTTCATCGTCTTATACTGTAAAGTGCTTTTATCTTCAACTAGAATTCATAATCCTTTTATCAGCATAGCATATACGCGTAAATCAGGAACTTAGAAACTTTTGCGAAATGTGCCAAACATAACTCACTGACAGGGTAAGATAATAAGATAGTTTTTATGCATACAACTCAATGCACTCCAAGTTGAATTTCCTCACAGACATCTTCTATGACAGATATTGACTCCAAATCCTGCTTATTGTTTGTTCAAAAGTGGTTAATATTAGGCACCAGTTCTCTGAAGGATGTCTACCTCTTGCTTTTGCAGATCCTCTCCTCGTTGACCCATATGTTGGCTGCCTTCTTCCTTCTAACAGTCTGAAAGACATGAACCAACAGCTGCATCCCTACTGTCTTGCAACTAAGTTTATTGATGACAAGTTGCTAGAGACAATACAATCTTCTGATGGGCTGAAACAGGTATGAAACCATTGCTTACTAGGATCTAATTGATCAGTTCTCACAACATCTTTGAGTTAGATGGGCAACTACTCTACTGACATGCTGCAGGTTGTTTTGTTAACAGATGGCCTGGATACACGGTCTTACAGGCTCAATTGGCCAACATCAACCCTAATATTTGACATATGCCCTACACAAGTATTCAGAGGAGCGGTTCAGAAGCTTCAAGGTATTAACATCCTTCTCCCTTTTTGTGTTGTTCTCTCCCTTATTTATGGAAGTTGCGTCTGGGGACAAGTAAGTCCAGGGGAACCCATGCACGGCTTACACCATTCTCCATGTCCTCTAGATTGCTATTTATGAGATAAGGTTTACCATTCTATATTAACTGTGCTGATATTTGGTTCTAATCCTGCAAATGAAGCTTTCCAAAAGTTTAGACCAGCTATAGAATTTGTTCTTCGTTTTTCTTATTTGCATTAGGGGTTTGTGGGAGGGGGGNTATCCTGTTTGCCTTTCAAAGCTACCTTTTGGTGGTAGAGCAGAGATGTGTTCTTTATCTAGTTTCGTTGCCTGTAGATTCAATTCCATAACAGCAGTAGATGAAAATTTCATCATCCAGCTCTAATTTTATTCCGTTTTTTCCAGTTTCCTCCAGCTGAATGCTTTAAAAGAACTCTTTTGTTTTCGTTTTCGTTTTTTCATTTTGGTAGAAATTATATCCTTATGTTGATCAGTGTTTCCTTCTTTATCTTTACTCTTTAAAATAATTACATGCTCATTGGGTGTGCCATGATATCCAATTTGAAAAATTACCTTGCAGCACACAATGATATCATGGGGGAATGGGAGGTGTAAATAGAAAGATTGGTCATTTGTCTCAAAGGAGCATGTGGATGAGATCTCATTGTCCTGCAAGGTGAAAATCAAAAACAAAATATAGTAGAAAGAAACTCAGAGATTGCTTATTCGCTCTAAGTAATGGAATTAGAACAAGGAAAGTTTAATTTCAGGTCTTGTCAAGAAATATTCTTTTTTTCTGGCTTCAAATAGACATGGATGTAGTTCATAAAAGATATTATTATCACTATTTCCTATCCTCATCTGCGCTTTGGTTTTTATTTTATTTATGTTGTTGCTTCTGGTTAGAAATCAATTAATCACTCAATCATCTCAATTCCAAATTGGCTGACGCAGTCTTCTAGTTAGATATGATAAGGAAAACAGTGATAGTGATACCTCTAATGAACTCTAGTACTCTGTTTGGAAGAGTGGAAATCAATCAATCAATCAATCAATCATCTCAATTCCAAATTGGCTGACGCCGTCTTCTAGTTAGATATGATAAGGAAAACAGTGATAATGATACCTCTAATGAACTCTAGTACTCTGTTTGGAAGAGGGGAATTCTTTTGTATTTACATGAGAACTGTAAACGGTTGATATTTCTCTTCTCAAGAGTAAAGGTGACAAGCAAAATTATGATGTCGAGATAGTGGGTTCGTGCTTAACGTTTTTCTTACAAGTGATGCTAGTACATTTGTGAATGTATTACACTGAGAAGTAATTATTTCTATGAACCATGCCAACCATTGGCATCTCTTAAGTTGGCCAACTATCATGCTATCCATTCTTTATACCAAAAATACAAGATAATAGGAAGGATCTTTCAATACCCTCAATGATTTCTCACTATTTTGGAAAAATGATATAGTTCCTTCATTCCACAAGCATCAAAGTAGACATAGTGAGCTGAAATATTTCTGAGCTCAGTGAACTCTTTATTAGATTTTCATGTTTTTTCATGATATCTGAGACTTGTGTTGATTACATTGGTTCTGTTTGAAGAGAAATGTTTTTACTCCTTGATGTTCCTTATGTCATTTTGTCTTTATTCATAAATGTATTAGTTTGTATGAGCACCTGAAGCATATCTAATGGTATTGCTATGGATGACATAGATGCTGGGGCTAAGATTCCAAGAGGATGCATGTCTTTTCATATCCCGTCAGAGTCTTTTGACATAGAAAATGTACTTCGCAGTAAAGGATTTAGTGGTACCAGACCAAGTATATGGGTTTTTCAGGTGAATATATGGTTTCTGGGTATTTTCTTTGACCTTCATGAAGTTTTGCATTCATTTATGGTGCTTACATAGTTGGAGTTCTTACCCCTGTTGATGTTTTACCCTTACGAACTATGGGAAAGAGGAGTTTTTACCACCTCCATCCACAGAAAAAAGACAAGAAAAAGAAAAGAAAACAAAGAGCTTGGGCTGCAAGTCATACACTGATTGTAAATTTTAGATAGAGATTTGACATGACAGAGAGCTAGCCTTTTACTTGAGTAGAGTTGTTTTTATGGTTCCTACTTGGTGCTCCAAAATTGTAGCAGTTTTTCTCATTAATGGTGAATTTTTTTCAATCTTTGGCTTTATTTGTCTTGATTACTGGCTTCACCGAAACATAATCACAATCAGCACATTTTCACCTTTCCTGCCCCCTCTCCTTTCTCAACCTTCGTTCCCCATAGAACATAAATGTTTTTGGAGGCTTACCTACTCACTGAAAGAGGGAGGTACTTTTATTTTGGCATCCGCTACATGTAATGGGTGTTGGTGTAGTTCACATTCCTAAATGTTTCTGACGTTATTGGCAGTATCATGACAGATTTTTTGAAGTTCACCTAGTGTTCAAGGACCGCTGTTATTGTCATCTGCGGTTGAACTTTAATCATTTGGTCAACAGTATTCATTTGATGTGGAATTCTGATACATGTACCTTATCAGTAACAGGAGTACCTCATTTGTAGGGATTTCCTGTTGTGAACTTGGCAAGTTTTAAAGATATCTTGTCCATTGTCAGTAATTTAGCCATGAAGGGATGTCTTTTCTTGGGGGAAATTCCTGTCTGGCTGGCTGAAACTGAGGTTGCAGACCTGGTGAGCTTGTACATTGAGCAGGCTTTTTTTATTCAATTAAATCCTCAAAAACTGCAAATTCCAGCAATCTAACTCTTGGTCTATGTTCAGTCTGCCACAAAGACATGGCTTGACAACCTCTTTATGAGCTATGGCTTCCGGGTGAAGGCGATTGAATATGATGAAGTTGCGCGAAACCTCAGCAAAGATTCTGCAAGACGAGCATCAGGAGTCGGCACGAGCATAATTTTTGTTGCAGAGCATCTGCGTTTCTCTGATGATCAGGTAGATTTACTGTGTGCCATAATGT